CCTGCTAAGAACGTAGTGAGGGTTTGTTGTTGAAAAAATGCCTTCTTGCTCTACTTCACCAGAGCATTATCATTATGAATATCTAAGTAATTTGAAATGGTGTTCAAAACTCCTATGCATCGTTCGAAAAACTGAAGAGGTGATTCGTTCTGCTGTCTCATGTTGACCAAATCTCTTGTCGATGAATTTTCGTCTCGTTGATCGCCAAAATTTTGAATTAATGTATTTTTGATTGAAGGCCAATCGTCAGAACCATATATTGATACAACTTCCTTCGCTCTGCCTGTCAATTTGTTAATTATTCCTTGCAGAAGTCGAACATTTTGTAGGGAACTCGGGTTAGTTTGATCGTAATAGTGATTCAATAGTGCAGACGCCACTCTGATGAAATCGTAGAGTGCGTTTGGGCTTCCAGCATATTCTAGTAGAATGCACAAGTTCTTAACGTCGAATGGTGATGGTGGAGCAATAGTATTATTTTCGGATATTGATAATATTTCACGAAATAAGTAACTCAAATCTGAATTTACACTGGTACTATGGTGATTGGATGAAGGGGAGTCTGACATGGAAAAGTAGGTACTCACTGTAAGATAGTGATAATGATCAAAACCATTCCTTCTTCTGCTGTGATGTCCTTCCGGTGGTGATCCTTGGTGGTTAGCGACGATGCTTCCTTCCAGGGACGACGTTTTTGGTATCGCGAACAAACGTTTCAAAACGACGAGGATCTATTCAAGAAGACTCTTTCGCGATCCTACCGACTGCGCCAGTTGGAGTTCGAATCCGTGAAATCTTATTTCCAAAAAGATTCATTTCGGAAAAGAACTTAACAAAAATCAAAATTATGTACCAAGTGAACAGTACAGACTAACTATAATAATGTGAAATAATATTCAAGTGAATTTGCAAAGTCAGCAACTCGGCACCGTTCTCATGAGAACTCTCGGAATCCGTGAAGGCGGTGGCTTCAGATATCGCTGAATAAAGGTGGAATCAAACTGTTACTTGTATGAATTGCCAATCATAATTGCTGTTGTTCATCAATGGTTTTGTGGAACGTTTATTGAATTCATTGGATCTCTATCATTCGAAGTTGTGCTATTCTTTGTTATCACTTGTTTTTTAGCATTTACTGAAGAGTTCTCTTGCAAATTATTTATAATATTCCGAGTTGTTTTCCACTTATCATCAGATGTTGAAATCAAATTGTCGTTGTAAGACTTGGATACTATACCTGTAGACCCTGCTGATATTTTCGATTCAAAAAACTACTCAATTTGAAACAAGGATCATTTTTGGCTAGCTCATTATAAAGAGAGACATTGTTCCCGAGGTGAACTAGAGCAGGTGTTATAAATAATATATTTATTTACTTGTTTTTTTTTCATCACCTCTTTGGTGTGCCTTCCAATTCGGAAATGAGATCTCGAATAAGTGTAACACGATATCTGCAAATGCTTGGTAGGGTGAGTTGGGACAAGACTGAATATAGATCTCATTCCATTTTACATTCCGTAAGTAATTTTTGAACACACTGATGTTCTCATCTGAAAAGTTTCGCTCATAATGAAATGTTTGAACGTCGTGTTCTCTGGCACCTCATAAAAGAACAGATCAAAACATTGAGGGTAGTGGTCTGAGACATGCATGTTCACTACTGCTACACTTTAGGATTTCACAGTCTTGATTATCCCAGATATGCCTAATGTCCTATATGTAGAACACCTAGCTAGCTCAATTGTTTTCAATACTAGCGCCATGTCAAAATTATTCACAGACTTGCTTGATTCGTGGTCAAGAACAGTTTGAAGTAGGGTTATTTTAGCAAATTGATGATTATAATGTACGCTTTTCTTGGTGAGTTATATTTTCATTTTTATTGTTATGTTCCAATCCAATTTGTGATCTCCATGATCAGTACATTTTAGGCATTCATGATATTCGATTTCTATATCTCGGGTTTATTGTTGCCGTCCTACAAATAGGACATTATGCAGCTATATGACCTTTTCCCATTCGATAGATGTTTTTCCTTCTATGGAGCAATCGCTATATTGAAAGGATCTGATGGAGAAAAGCTGGATGCAATTCAGGATATAACAATTTTTCCTCCAATCAACGCAACTACTTAGTTGTCAGATGACGATTCGGACGAGAACACTTTTCAATAAAAAAGATGCCAGGATGCCAGGATCTGAACATCGCATTCCAATTGAGTTCTGGAGTTTGATTCTTGTCACAATGAGGGTCAGGTTGGTGTTGTTGAAAGTTCAGCTTCAGAGGGTGATGTGGCATTATTTGAGATGAAAAAATATGAAGGAGTGGGAAAAGGAACCCAAGAAAGTAAATGAAAAAAAAATGTATAATAAAAGATTGGATAGAAAAAGATCTGCCCTCTCTAAAATTCTATTGATAATGAAGAACGAATAAAAAATCTGTTGGCCCACATGAATTATCCTAAAAATTTTCCGACAAACCTATTCTGGAACTGATAATGCGAGAAACTATAACAAGTATATTCAGCAAAAAAATAAAAATGGCAATATCTAAATATCTTAGGTGAAAACCCCCATAGGAGACTTGATTGTCAATTGATATATTCGAATTCCATGCAGCAGAATACTATATTGAAGAAGAGAAAGCGATGGAAAAAATGGGTTAGTAACGGAGACAATCGACAAAGACAGAAAGATAAGAGAATGATGAAAGATATCACTGACTCGATGATTCACATGATGCTGAGTTTCCTTCAACTCTTGTCGGGATTATAAAAGATATCACTGACTCGATGATTCACATGATGCTGAGTTCCCTTCAACTCTTGTCGGGATTCTCCTTGTCATATTGACATCGAAACATGAAAATAAATCTTCGAGTAATATACAATACGTTGTGTGAGAAATAAAGTTGATGTTGAAGTCACCTCCAATAATTTCATCTTTGGTGAACATATTTTACTCAAAATATCACTTAGTAGTCTCAAAAAATCATGAAAGTCTCCATCAGGAGGCGGATAAATAGCAATGCAAATTATTCTCTCCTTGAGACTCCTCGAGAGTCATCAAGTTTATAGATTGCAACTCCACCATGGGTCTTTACTTTTCTTTCTTTTCTTCTTGAAATACAGACGCTATGGTGTTTGATGAGTTGTAAATCGTGTGAAATTTCTACTAGAATTGATATTCCTAATGAAAATAGGTTGGGAGATTCTTTGAACATTATAGGGATATCCTTTCGTGCGCTCCAAAGAAATTAAGAAGAAGGACGCGACAAGAAAAAGGCTTCCTGAATCAACTCCCTTCCTATTCACATATATGAATTCACCAATTGTAATTCGCTCGATAAATCTGCCAAATGTAAAACTGAATTTTCGTTACCATCTCTGGATATAGAGTGGCTCTCCTATCTAAACAAAATTTGACAGATTCATATTTGCCACTTTCAGCTGCATGAAGAATGGCTGGTAATCCGTTATTATCAATTTGATCAATGTCTCCTCCGCATTCCAGACATAATTCCATCAAATCCAGATGACCTAGTGAAGCTGCAATATGTAAAACAGTTCTTCCGTGATTACAACCTTGGTTTATATCTGCACCTTTCTCCACACAAAATCTCAATAAATCCAACTGCTCTGATTTGGCTGCATAATGTAAAACGGTTTCTCCATTATCATCACCTTGGTTCATATTCACCATTTTCTCCGCACAATATATCACGAAATTGAATTTATTCGTTTCGGAAAAATTGCCTAGATATAGATTTCCTCCTACTTTCATAGAAAATTCCGATAATTCTGATTTGCCCAATAAAGCTGCATAGTGTATAACTGTTCTTCCATCATTATCCCTTTCATTTATATCTACTCCTTTTGCTACACAGAATTTTATCAATTCTAATTGGCCCATTGAAGCTGCATAATGTATGACTCTTCTACCATCATCATCACATACATTGATATCTGCTCCCTTTAGCACACAATATTCCATCAATTCTAATTGCCCAGATAAAGCTGCGTAATGTATGACTGTCCCACCTTTATTATCTTTTTGGTCTATTCCTGCTCCCCTACTGACACACATTTTCACCAATTCTAATTCGCCACTTCTAGCTGCATATAATATAACTGAGTTTCCCTTCTCATTTTTATGTATATCTGCTCCATTTTCCAAACAAAATTTTGATATTTCATTATGGCCATTTTCAGCTGCATATAATATGACTGTAACACCATCATTATCACTTTCATTGATATCTGACCCTTTCTGCAAACAAAATAGCAGAAGATTCAATTTGCCTGATGAAGCTGCTAAATGTATTATTTTCACTCCTTTATTATCGCAGTGATCTATATCGGCTCCTTTTTCTACGCAGTATTTCACAAATTTCAATTCATCAAATAATTCAGCTGCATAAAATAATACTGATCGTCCTACATTATCTGCTTGATTTATATCTGCTCCCATTTCCAAACAAAATTCCAATAGTTCATTATTGCCTCTTTGAACTGCATATCGTCGGTGTAATTAGCAATGTGCGTAACTCCAATATTGGGTCAAAATGACATTTTTGTGCCATCTGTTGGGAAAAAATTCAACGAATATGTTGGAAAACGGTCAATCTCCAAATAAATTTCTCCAGCAGAATAAACTCAATAAAGAAAAAGTCGTAACTCCAACGCGCCATTTTATGTTCGGCAATATTCGTATCTCCTTGTCTACTGTTCACATGTTCAGCAAAACATCATCAACTTCTGGTTTATTATAGTGAAAAAATATGCAATCTCACATTGGAAAAGGTAATTAAAACATTTATACTGAATGATGCATGCTTGATAATGATCAATATCAATAAAAATCAATTGAAATTGGGTTTATAATCGTTATCATGGAGTTACGAATTTTTCGCTCTCATCCAAATGATTCGAATCTTGGAGTTAAGTCATTCAGTTTTATTGCTCTCCTGAAAAGTTAGTCATTGTGGAGTTACGCACTTTGCTAATTACACCGACGATATATTATCGCCGTTTTTCCATCATTGTCCCTTTGATTGATGTTTGCCCCTATTTCCAGACAAAATTTCATCATCATCAAATTGCCTGATGCGGCTGCGAAATGTATCAAACTTCTCCCTTCATTTTCACAATGGTGAATATCTGCTCCATTTTCTATACAAAATCGCATCACCTCTAATTTTTCACACCCAGCTGCATATAATATGGTTGTTTTTCCGTTCTTGTCCTTTTGATTTATATCTGTTCCTCTTCCGACACAAAATTTCAACATCTCCAGATGACCTGTGGCAGCTGCATAGTGTGTGACTGTTCTTCCTCTATGATCGCTCTGGTTTAAATCTGCCCCATTCTCTAGAAGGAATTTCATCAATCCTAAATCGCCTCTCTCAGCCGCATTCAATAAAACTGTACTTCCATCCGTGTTACTTTGGTTGATATCTGCCCCATTTTCCAGACAAAATTTCACTAATTTTTCTCCACCACCTTGAGCTGCTTGAAATATAATTGTAGTTCCACTCTCGTCACGTTGGTTCATATCTACTTTCGATGTTTGCATACATAATTGCATCAATTCTAATTTCCCCAATGAAGCTGCATGATATATGACTTTTGGGTTTATAGCAAACCCTCGATCAACAGATAATTGCACCAATTCCACATTGCCTCTTTCTGCTACTAGTTCTATAGCATCACGTCCGTACATGTCTTTTTGGTTCATATCTGCCCCATTTTCCATACAAAATTTAACCAATTCCACGTGGTTTTCTCTAGCTGCGTATAAAGCTACTGAACATCCGTATATATCAATTTGATTTATATCTGCCCCCCTATCCACACACAATTTTAGTACCTCCATCTTCCTATGTATACCCGCATAATGAATGATTGTACGCGCCCATTCATCTCTTTGGTTAACATCTGCCCCTTTGTCCAGTAAAAGTGTTATTATTTCTGGATATACTATCCCCTCCTTGAGAATAGTGGACCCACTTGAATAATCTATGATTCCCAATAACTGTTTCCTCTTCACCCTTTTTCCTAGCATTATTTTCAAAATATTCAATCGACCCTCTCTAGCTAATATGTGTATATTGGTTGTTTCATTCCAAGTTATGGAATCGACAATAGAGTCGCAAATACAGAGAATTTCTTCTGGAATTTCATCAAATTCCTCTGTGAGGATTCCTTCGAAAAAGTTCCTAATCCCTTCGTACTGTTCATCTAGGAAAACGATGCTTAGTAGAAAAACTAAGAATTCCTGAGAATACTTCAATTCAATCAGTTGTTTCCACAATGCCTTAGCAACGAAATATTCAGCGAATGTTTTATGAATGAATACTAACCCGTCTTCAAGCTCATGTATTATTCCCATTTTCACAATGGTTTCTATAGGAATGTTTTCAACGATTTTTGAGATATTCATCAATTCGAAATGACTGTCTTTGAAGAGGAGCTTAGCCGCTTCTTTCTGATGTTTTATGAGAGCATTTTCAAATTGAGACTCGAACAATAGTTTTGTGGCGGTATTTCCTTTAGCCAGGCATTTTTCGTCGATAAAAATTTTGCTTTTCTTTTGCATAAACATGTCGTACAAGTCATTGAGGGTTAGCTTGATTGGCAACTCCGGATTATCATATCCAGATATCAGAAAATCTTTACAGCTTATCCAATTATTCTGCTTCTTATCCGACTCCAGAAATATTTCTCCAATCATTTCAATGTGGAGTGGGATGCCAGTGAATTTCCATGCATCAGTCGTCCCAATCGCTTTAATTAGTTTACTCATCAATTTTTGTGCGTACATATTACATTTGTTTTCATCATCAACATCATTTATGTTCAGATTATTCTTCCAGTACTCTCCGAGGAACACAACTTGTTCTAGGAACCAATATGGACATAGCTGATACGATTTGGTATTAAGAAATGATTCCAGTTCTGTTTTCAGATGCGGACGAGTGGTGATGAAGATTTTTGAAATGTTTTTACGTTTAGAACTGCTCAGGAGGAATTTCTTCACCAGTTTCGTGTATGTTGGACTCATTTCATCTACTGCGTCCACTAATAATACGATTTCATCATTCATTGAAAAAATACTTTTTTCGAAACTATTTTTCAATAGATTTTGGTTGAAGATTCCCAAAATTTCTTCTAGTTCAATGCCTTTATTTTTGTGTGTTTCGAATAGACCGGTAAATTGATTCAAATCTATTCTTAAAACGAATAAGTGTGGATATTTCTTCTTAATCAAATACCCCAGTTTCTTCAGAAAAGTAGTCTTTCCCATTCCTGCTTCATTTGATATTAGGAAAATCTTGTCAGATTGCTCAACAAAATCCCTGACATCTTGTTCTTCGAAATCTTCACCCACGTAGTTGGTTATCCTTCTTTCCCTGTAATAAACTGGAATGTCTCCTGAATTTTCATTTATTGCTGTTCCTATTTCAATCTTTCGTTCGAATATCAATTCGACAATGGTTTTTTGGTCCATTAAATAACTTAAGTTCGATCTATCATTCATGAGCTCGTCGATCGACAAATTGGTACCTCGATAAATTAGTTTATATAAGGGAATGTCGGTACCTTGAAAACAAACAGATTTGGAAAGCAGAGTTTTCTGAGATGTTTCTCTTAAATGATCGAAATTTACTTTATCGAAGATAGTTGTAATATTTCTCTTACTTAAATGTGTCTGAATCGATTCCTTAGAAAAAATGATGACTTTTTTGTATGAAAATTCTTCTAAAATATTATTAATGTGATTATAACATGTCTCACTGTTTTCACCGAATCCGGATGAAGAAATCAAGAGTATGCAGAATCTAGGCAGCTCATAACATTCTATGATTCTGTCAATAATCTCGATCTTATCTTCAGGATCAATGAATAAAATTTGGTTTGTGTTATAGTCTTCTAGAAAACTTCTATAGGCCTTGAGTATAGTCAAGATACTCTCTTCAGCTGTTATGATGTTCAATATTTGATTATTTCCAATAATATATTTTTCTTTGAAGTATATTCCGAGAGATTCAAGCTCAGTCAATTTCTTGTGACTCGTCCACTCGTATAAAAATGCTATTACATGCGATTTCACAATAGTTGTTCTATTTTTCCCTATATACCAATTATCTATGTTTCTGATGAAATGATTTTCATCAAATTTCAATTTCAAATTTCCTTCTGCATCTGTAAGACTTCCTTTCATACTCTCGTCAATTTGTGAATCAGTGATGTGAAAAAATCGTAGCTTTTCACAAAAATTCGTTACTAATTGATCGTCATATGAATTCAGAATTTCCTTTACCACTAAATCTTTCAGTTTGTATGAAGATGTTTCACCTGGAAATAACGGAATGGATATTTTTTCTTCTGTTTCCGATACAGTTCTGGTATCTGGACAACAATTTGAACAAATTACAAAGATCATCTCATCGAACTTCTTCCATTTATTCTTCATCTCTTGAAATGATTTGAAATACTTTGGGAGATAGAAATCACCTTTCTTCACTAAATCATTCTTGGAAATTTTGGTTTTCTTCTTATCTCTTTTATGTTTGCATTGTATTGCAAAGCTGCTATTTTTATTTTCACTCAGGTAAACGATGTCATTGAAATCTCCAGCGTCATTATACTCAGTGAATTCTTTCCAGTTTCCATCATGATTGAGGCCTTCTAAAGCGATAAGTGCCAAAAGTTTTATTTGGTAGGAGCTCCCCTCACGTCCTGAATCGTTCTGATCCATTTCTTTTCAGCCCTGGAAAAGAAAGTCAATGCTATTATTTTTAATTTAACTTTCTTCAATAACTTCAGATTCGCTGTATTATGATTACAATATAACAATAATGATTATTTTATCTCTCTCTGAAATTGGTTCCAAATTATTAATACTGTGTTATACAGTGTGCATGTTGCAAGATTGTTCGATGTCTATGAAAGCCATTGAGATTTGATGGAATAAATATGAGTAAACTAGATCGAGGAAACGAAAACCTGAAAACATTTCAGAAAATACATCAGAGACAGTCAATATGAATTTACGGGGTCAAAAATATATTTTCACACAGCACATGTACCTATGTCGAATGTACGTACAATGTACGTCCACGTCGGATCGTGAGGACGTCCAATAGAAGTACTCGAGTGGACGTTTAATGATAGAATGTACAGCGTCCTTCCAGCAGGACGGAATCAGCCTATTTAAGGACGCTCGATTTCTATTAATGCGTCTGGAATAATGTGCAGATTATGAGCTTTCAGCGCATTTTTTATTCGAAACTGTAACCCCACCCAGTAGCAAGATATAACGAGTTAAAAAGAAAGATATTCCAGTCGAGAAAATGATCTTTGTGGGTGTTATGGGATTGTGAAAAATATAATAAAATCCAGTAATACCGTCACAGTGAAGTGGGACATTGATGGGAATATAACAAAAATTGACCCAAATCTATCCCCTTGTTCATTTTCATGTTTTATATAATTTCAATAAACATTTATTTTCAATTTTTTCAACACTCTGGAACATTTTGATTTTATTGAAACTCATTTCAGTTGTCAAGCGAAATATCAGTTTTGATTCATGAAATTTTCCCATCGAATTATATAATTCATGCAACGGAAATTGAAGATAATTCATGTGAAATCTTGACACACTGGTATTTTTCATTCGCCTCCTTTATGGAGGATCCAACTTCATCAACATTCGTATTACAAATCTGACTATCAGAACTTTCATTCAATTGGTAGGGAGCTACAAATAGGAAAAAGAATCAACGAAACCCTGTATTACTTCCTAATATATTTCTTTCTGCATACGTTTATCTTATTGTCTGTGCCACCACTGAGTTTCATATAGAGATAAATGTATCCTCAGACTTTCAAACGCTCTAGCTCACTTGTTGCGACTGATTTTTCAATACATCTTGCTAGAAGGACACTTTGAAGTTCTGGACGGACAAGCGCGCGTCCTGCCAGTAGGACGTACAAAAGTACTTCTGGAAGCGCTTCCAGCAGGACAACTGCTTGTACGTTCTATCATCAACATCCTATGGACGTCCACTGGATGTCCTGATGACACCACTTTGGACGTACTTTATGGATGTCTTCATTTCGATGTACAATAGATGTTCATATTTGGACTCACAATGGATGTAGATGTCTGAGCATCCATTGGACGTACCAAATTGGACGTTAAACGTCCAATGAAAGTCCATTAGATGTCTTGAGGACACCACTTTGGACGTACATTGGATATTTACATGTGGGTGTAAATGGATGCTCATCTTTGGGAATCAAATGATGAAAAATCAGTAGGTAGCAAATAAAGCTTCTTCTATTGAGATATATATTTGATGTCGATTGAATATATATCTAGATATATTGTTGATCCATGTCTTCTTCAGTCCACTTTAAATTCTTGTTTCTGTAGAAAAAGAGAAATATTATGAGTTGCTACCCAGATAGCACGGGACGTCCCGAAGACGTCCATTTTAGGTCCATTTCTGGTCTGAACGTCCAAGACCTTTTATGGACGTTTTTAAGACGTCCATTATTGGACATACTCCGGACGTCCAGAAACAGACGTCTTTAAAAAGGTCCAATTTACAGACTCCCACGGTATATCAGTTTAAATCAATAAAAGTAGATAGGTATATATTAATTTTAAAATTAGAATTATTGAATTGAATATGGACATAAATGATGTCAAAAAATTTATTATATATCAGCTGTATCAATATATTGAATTTCATTTTATTAATAATATTATGAATTAGGAATATTTATGATTTTAACTGATTTGAACCTACTTATATAGTTATGTTGAATGATATTACTTCAATCACATGAAACCTATATACACTTTGATCATTCTTCAACCCACACTCGAGTATCCATACAAGGCGCGCTTTTATTATAAGATTTGATTGAATCACTGAATATGTAAAGCAACAGTAGAACGCATGCGTGCTCAGCGTTGCCAGTCTTACTATTTTAGCAGTAGATCTACTGTTTTTGTCTCCGTTCTACTGTTCAACTATTCAAGGCAATGGTCTGATTGGTCATGTTTCGATATGACACAACTACCTAATATGCAAAAATGAAAAATTAATGGGACATCACAGTAAGAAGATGTATGATAAAAATATACTGCAACTATCATATTCAGTCTGATTAGTAAAAATTAGCTTTTATTTCCAATCTGGTTGCGGTTTTTACAAATTTTATTTTTTATTTCATTATTTTTTGTTATTCTTCGTTCGATTTTTGATAGGTATAGAGATCGAACATGATTTTTTTTTCGTTTATTATATAGGTGACTATGTTTTTTCATTTATGATAGCAAATTGTGATGATTATCAAAATCTTCTGTTCAGTTTTGATGATCTACTGTTTTTTCCCCACCCATCTACTGCTCCGACAAATTTTCATCCGGCAACACTGTGCGTGTTACGTGAAACGAAAACGTGAGATGATGGGAAAGGGAAATGGGAACTGGGAAGATGGCGTCTGTCAGTTAACCACTGCCGAGTGCCGATTAAACTGTGATTCAGGTCCAAGGACATTCTGAACTTTTCGGGTTATTTGACTGTAAAAGCAGTGAATAAGTGGAATCTTTGCGGATATCATCTATCAAACTGGTGAACTTCGATCTCGAGTTCCATCGAGATGTTTATTTGTGCTAACAGCAGCATGAAGGCAAGTATGGCTATCGACGCTATCGTTTTATTTTCATTCGCTTGAAGATGCTTGAGTAAGAACATCAAATCTGGAGTTGAAAATATTAGATACCTTTCTAAATAATTTGATCTCATGCAAAGCTCTACCTAATCCTATTTCCATCATCTACAAAAGTTTATATTTTTGTACATAGTTAAAACATAATATAATTCGTGCAAGGTTCATAGAGGTTATATACCCAATCACCACAAATACGTCTCATGGACGTTTAAAAAACGTCCACTCTGGACATTCAGAACGTTTTGAGGACGTCCATTTCCGGACGACGGACGTCTTATGGACGTTTTGAGGACGTCCATTGTTAATAATCAGGATGTTTTGGGGACGTCCAGTTTAGGTCCAGACTAGGACCTTTTTGGGATGAAAAATGGACGTATTGAGGACATTCAGACAATATTGATTATTGATTTTCTGACCCATCTGAAGAGTGAAATACTCGAATATTAGTTAACATTTATTCGCAAACAATAATATGAACAGAGATTCAGGTAGTTGTTTCAATTTCACTCTTCCATATCGTATATCAGCAGCTGCACCACTAAAAACGTCGCGTGATTCATCCAGGTACGCAGGCGCGATGATGTCTTTTTCTGATTGGCAGCCTTCTGTTGTCTTCTTCACTGGATCTGTAAATAATAATAATATTCAATAACATCTTCTGTGAATACCATAAACAATAAACACACACCCACTTTCAACGTGTAGTAGTCAGTATAGCGGAATACTTCATTATTTTTATTTCATTGAGAACTCATTCCATACATAAACTGATTCTTAGGTAGGTACCTATATAACCTCTATGAACCTTGCACGAATTATATTATGTTTTAACTATATACAAAAATATAAACTTTGGTAGATGATGGAAATAGGATTAGGTAGAGCTTTGCATGAGATCAAATTATTTAGAAAGGTAAGTATCTAATGTTTTCAACTACAGATTTGATATTCTTACCCAAGCATCTTCATGCGAATGAAAATAAAACGATAGCGTCGATAGCCATACTTGCCTTCAAATAAACATCTCGATGGAACTCGAGATCGAAGTTCACCAGTTGATAGATGATATCCGCAAAGATTTCACTTATTCACTGCTTTTACAGTCTAATAACCCGAAAAGTTCAGAATGTCGTTGGACCTGAATCACAGTTTAATCGGCACTCGGCAGTGGTCAACTGACGGACGCCATCTTCCTACGTTTTCGTTTCACAGTTTCACACGTAACACGCACAGTGTTGCCGGATGAAAATTTGTCGGAGCAGTAGATGGGTGGGGAAAAAACAGTAGATCATCAAAACTGAACAGAAGATTTTGATAATCATCACAATTGCTATCATAAATGAAAAAACATAGTCACCTATATAATAAACGAAAAAAAAAATCATGTTCGGTCTCTATACCTATCAAAAATCGAACGAAGAATAACAAAAAATAATGAAATAAAAAATAAAATTTGTGAAAACCGCAACCAGATTGGAAATAAAAGCTAATTTTCACTAATCAGACTGAATATGATAGTTGCAGTATATTTTTATCATACATCTTCTTACTGTGATGTCCCATTAATTTTTCAATGTTGCATATTGGATAGTTACGTCATATCAAAACTTGACCAATCAGACCATTGCCTTGAATAGTTGAACAGTAGAACGGAGACAAAAACAGTAGATCTACTGCTAAAATAGTAAGTCTGGCAACGCTGAGCACGCATGCGTTCTACGGTTGCTTTACATATTCAGTGATTCAATATGAATACTTCAGTGTGGGTTTAAGAATGGTCAAACTGTATAGGTATTATGTGGTTGAAGGAATATGATTCAACATAACTATAAAAGTTGGAACAAATCAGTTAAAATCATAAATATTTCAAATTCATAATATTAATAATAAAATGAAATTCAATATATTGATACAGCTGATATATAATATATTTTTTGACATTATTCATGTCCATATTCAATTCAATAATTCTAATTTCAAAATTTATATATACCTACCTACTTATAT